GTTAACCTGACAGTTAGCCTGAAAGACAGTTAGGCTGATTTCATACTAATTGTCACGCTGACAATTAGTCAGTCAGTCTCACTGGCAATTAGCCTGAAAATTAGCCTGACTGACAGTAGGGTTGACGTTTAGGCCGACACTTGATCTGACTGACAGTCATGACAGATAGTCAGGATAACTTTCAGACAAACTGTCACTCAGGCTAACTGACAGTTAGCCTGCTTGAACCAGGTTAATTTCCCTCTGGGTGCCTAAGTTGATTTGTTTCCTCTGTGCCGTTCAGAAGCGCTACCAGGCCATGTACAGCTACGTGGCAGCAGAAGCAGATGAAGTGTCTCTGCAGGAAGGCGACCTGATCCTAGACGTGGAGCCCATCGATGAAGGCTGGGTGTTCGGCTGTAACCAGCGTACAGGACAGCGAGGGATGCTGCCGGCCAACTACGTCCGACCTGTGTGAGGCCGGCAGGAGGTCCGCTGATGCAATCAGGCTTCTACTGTAAATCACCTTTTACTCATGAAACATGCTGTTTAAAAGCATCCCTGCCTGGTTCTGCTTTGCCTTTTTTTGTCAGAAATTTTATTTTTAAATACAATTAAAGAGGTACTTCTTAAAGACTGTTGAAAAGTGTCTCCAGGGGAAAACTATGATACTAAAAGCACTGAAATGGAAGCTTGTCTGTAATAAATTATCCAAAGTAGTGAGTAAACAACTTCAAAAACATTAATCTACAATTAAAAGCAATACTGCACACATGAAATTCTTCATATTTTCCTCAACAACTGTCCTCAGTATCTCCTTGTAAATCTCAGAAAACAACTGCTTAATATAAATCTGAGACAGAAAATCAGACACTTGATGGTTAAATCATTGAATCATTTCATTATTTAACTCTGTGTGTTACATTTGTTTTCTCAAAAGAACTTTGCTTTATTTTTGCTTTTTGTTCTGCAGCATTTTCCACTGTGGACATAATAAATCCAACATAAAACATACAGCACCATTAATACCTTTATTCATCAACAACACAAATTGCACATCATCAAAAAATCACTAAATGAAGTAAAATTTCACTGAATCTAAACCGGATGTTTAAAATCAGACAAAAGCTTTTTGTACAAAATTACGTTCAACTTAAAACAAGGAAACTTTAGCACCTTCTCTTTTAAAAAGTCAAACAAAACAGTTCTGTAAAGACTTGACTGGCTCAGAATCTTTGTGCGTCTAAAGATAAAAGCGGTCCTGTTCAGGACTTAAGGCCGACCTTCACGGCAGAGAAAAAGGCGACTCTCTTGGTGATTTTGCTGTGCAGCTTCTTCGGCAGCCGACAGAGCTTCTGCCTGAACAGCTCCGGGTTTCCTCCTATGAAATCCTCACACAGTCTGCAGAAGGAAAAAGAAAACCCATCACATCTCATTTATCATTGTTAACTGTAGTTAGACTGTGTTTTACATATCTGACATGATGTGCTGCTGGAGAGCAACCTGCTATTTGCATGGCGGCGGCAGCATCATGGTGTCATGCTTCTGTCTTCCTGCTTTTCAACATGAATCATGATCAGTTTAATTACAAAAAAAAGCTTTCATGTCAATGTGAAAACAGATTTCTACAAAGTAATGTCAATGAATTTAAAATAATTAATAACAACTACACCACAAAGACAAACCAGTCAAAGCAAGTCCATTAAAAGGTTCCTGGAAAGCAGAAGTCCGGAGATGATACGAGAAAATATCCACTCAGTGTCTCTTGGAGTCCAGTTAAATCCACCAAGAAACAGAAGGAACATGGCACAGAGCAGGTCATCCTCAAAAACTGAGTGACGAAGCGAGAAGGAGACGAGTGAGGGAGCCACCAAGACACCAAGACTTCCTCTGAAGGAGCTTCAAGCTTCAGCAGCTGAGATGGAGAGACTGTTCACAAAGCTTAAAGTTCTTCACCAGTCGAAGCTT